TCTTATGTTGTCTTTGCCATGTGTGAACACTGTTTTTTGTCTGAACCATATTGCTCTAATGGTCTTCTCCCCTGCCCATTGCAAGGAGCGTCATCCAAGGACAAGGACAAGCAGGGAAGCTCTCTAATGGCAAAGGTGAGGCATTTCCCCCCAACAATTACCAGAGGAGGTCAAAAACTCAGGAGTACTTTTGCTTTGGAGAATTACAGTGGAGATACATTGAACACAGCAAGCTATGCAGTGGTAGGTTCACGTGACATGACAAGCCATAGTTTCTTGCACAGGATGGTCATCCAAACCCTATTGTGGCATTTCAGCATGGTATGTTTGGCTTTAGAAGCCTAAGAAACAATGGTCTTCCACCATTTCCATGCTCCACCATGGTTTCTCTGGTTGTTTGAACCCAGTAGTGTGATTTCCACAGTCTTCGTATGCAGCTACCACAGAGTCCTCTGGAAAGACAGGGGCTGCTCCACCCATTGACCATGGGATTGCCTTTAAGCTGCAGTGGCTGATGGGACACATGCCAACTGCAGAAGGACTGAACAAGGAGGGCAAAAATCATGCTAGTGTAGAAACTACTTGATCTTCTGTCAGGCACATTCAGGCAAAAAAACTTTACACCATGGAAACCATGAGGGTTGCTTGCCCTGATGTGTGAATCCATCCAGTGTTTCACTCATTCCTCAAGGAGGCACATTGAGCTTTTCTATGCAGGCATTTAACTGTGCGTTTGTCTTTCCGTGCTCACAATTGCTTACAGGTACTTTGCATGAGATCAGGATTTCCCTGTTTTACTTCTTTTTAAAGAACATTTGTCTCTCTTTTAGCATGGGAATATGGGGTATTTTTTCTGAAAGTGAAAGCAAAGGCATTTTCCTGCTTGCATATTGTATTTTGCTTTAGCAGAGTGCCACCTAGAGGTTATGTGGTGGAAAAGCAGGAAATGAAGAGCTTTTTGTGTTCAATCTCGGACCTCAATGTTGCATTGTAACTGAAAGTAGACACAGCCAATAAGCTGTCTCATGGACACTGCAGGCTCCCTTTCCCAATTTGAATTGGGACTGGACAGGGGAGGTCCTATTTATTATTACATTCATACCCAGGATTTGTTCCTTTTGCATCCTTATAGCCCTCCAAATGTTTGGGCCTACAACTCCCATCAGCCCTAGTCAGCATCACCAATGGTGATGGATCATGGGAGCTGTAAGCCAAAATATTCTGGACAACCATGTATTGCCGACCCCTGGGACACAAGTGAAGCATGAGCAGGGGCTGAGCACTTCTCACTCTTCTCTCTCGCAAAGACCTCCTGCACATCCATGTTCAGACATACTGTTCTCCGGCTACTGTTACTCATTACAACAGGCTGCTTTTCCACAGGTAGAGGGAAACGTAGAAACATAGAAAACAGAGCGAGTCAGAAGGGGCCTCCCGGGCCATTTAGTCTGACCTCCGGCACCAGCCGGCTCCGCTCACGACATGCCCACCATGTGGACGTCCAGCCTTTCCTTGAACACCCGCACTGACGGGGCCTCAACCACCTCCCGGGGAAGCCCATTCCATACCCTCAGGGTCCTGACTGTCAGGAAGTGCTTCCTGGCATCCAAACAAAACCTTGGCTCCCTGAGCTTTGCTCCGTTGGAGCGCGTTCTGCCTTCCTCTGCAGGGGAGAACAGGTCTCTACCCATCTCCATGTGACATCCCCTCACATACCTGTATGTCGCCAACATATCCCCTCTGAGTCTCCTCTTCTCCAGGCTGAAGTGACCCAGTTCCCTCAGTCTCACCTCATATGGCATCCCCTGCAAACCAGCCACCAACATTGGGGCCCTACGCTGCACTGACTCCAACCTGGCTATATCCTTTCTGTAATGAGGGGCCCAAAACTGAACACAATACTCCAGTCGTGTAGAGTGGTAGTAATACCTCTCTTGATCTAGAAGCCACACTTCTGGCTATGCAACCAAGGGTGGCGTTCACCCTCTTGGCCACCGCATCACACTGCTGACTCATGTTTAGCCTGCAGTCAACCAGTACCCCGAGGTCCCTTTCACAAGTGCTGCTCTCCAGCCACTTATCACCTAACCTGTACTTATGACAGCTATTCCTATGCCCCAAGAGCAAGACCTTACACTTATCCACATTGAATGCCATCCTGTTGTCTCCTGCCCACTTCCATAGTCTGTCCAGATCCTTTTGTATCTGGAATACCTGCTCCTCAGTTGTGGCCAGTTTTAGTGTCGTCTGCGAATTTGATCAGCAGACTGTTCACCCCTTCTTCCATGTCATTAATGAAAAGATTCAACAGGATCGGCCCCAGGACAGAGCCCTGGAGGATCCCGCTTGTCACTGGCCGCCATCCCGATGATTCCCTGTTAATGCTCCCGAGGCTTCGGCGAATGGGGCGGCATAAACATGTTTAAATAAATAAATAAATAAATAAATAAATAAATAAATAAATAAATGCTTACCTTCTGCTTTCGTTCAGTCAACCATGCCCTAATCCACTGGACAGTGCTTTGGTGTATCCCAAAACTCCTCACAAGAGGTATCAGGGACCAGGATGCACCCAGCTGCTTCTCTGTGGGCTTGTTGACTTATTTGTTCCAGCCAGGCTCCCAGTTGTGTGCATGCTCCAATGCGGACAGAAAGGTATACTTGATCTGGAGCTTGTGCTGTAAGGGAATTGCTACCCTGCCCTTCATTAAGACTTTCCAAGGCATGGGAGCCCTGTTGGGGTGAGTGGATGGCCATCCCATGTGGGCCTTCCCCTTCCCCTGCTTTCTGCTCCCAGATGCTGATCAATCAAAGCTTTGCTTTCTCCATGCACCCAGGCTGGGGTGCTCTCACTCCATTGCTCTTGACAATGCTGGGGGAAGGAACACTGTTTTGGCCCTGCTACCAGCCCCCTCTGGGACAGCAGTCTTGATTCAGGTCACTGGGGTGGGAGAAAGCCTTGAACCTCCTGCTTCTCCCATGACCCTGATGCAATTTGGACCTCCCAACCCATCCTCAAGTGGTCTCCACAGGCAAGGAAGAGAAGCTTTACATCTTCCCACTCCACATGCTATGACTTGGGTGGAGGTAGGGTACATTGGTCAGGGTCTGGAGCTTGGGCAGCAGAGCTCTTGGCAGAAGCATGGGCAACTGGGCGACAGGACCCAAGGCAGGGCAGGCTCTGAACATGGTCTGGAACTAGTAGTGGGGATGGAGGCAGAGTTATAGTTGCCTTGAACTGGTCCCTGCCCTCCTTCCTTCGGGTTCCAAAACTCAAGACAATCCTTTGAAAAAATAGTTCTGTTATGGAGACTCCACAGATAACAGGACAGTTTGGCTTCTACCAAAGATGGGTAGAGAAGTCTCCAAACTGAAAACTTCCCCGCATCCCTTCCCTTTCTGTCAAACCTCTGGCTCCACCCCCAGCATGGCTCTCGCTGCTTAAGGGCTGAACAGAGCAAATAGCGAACTGCCTCCAACTGAGCAGTGTGTTCCTCCCAACACCCCCCACAGGGTCAAAGACCGGGTCTGGCCTGTGCTCCCCCTCCCCTCTGGGATGTCCTTCCTCCCGGCTGAGAAATGGCACCAGAAGCTTCAAAGGCTGCCTGCACCGCTCCTCTTCCTTTTCTTCAGAACTCTCCCACTGAACATCTGTCATGTGCTTGAGGTGAACCCACTCCTGCAGGAGTCAAGGGGCAGGCTAGAGCCAGGAACTGGGAGGGTGACACAGAGCAAGAGAAGGGCATGGGCATGACTGAGCCAGTGGTCCAAAGCAGGGGAAACAGATCAGGGAGCATGTTTGCATTCAAGACAAGGCAGGCTGCAGGTACCCAAGGTGGGGTAAACCAGGTGGGGTTCGGGACCAGCAGGAGGTATGGCAGAGCATGGTAGAGAGAGGGGAGGCTGGGGCAGGAGGCCACCCTCAATCAAGTGACGGTCAGGCAAGATGCAGTTGGTGGCGTGCACTCCAGCGAAGTGGGCAAAGCTGTGTTGCTGAGGGGACCAGTGGAAGGAAGAGCTTGCTCTGATAGTGCATTTCCCCCAGTCTCCCCACCTGTGCTCATCAGGGAGCTGAGAGCTCCAGCAGGGCCTGAGCCCAATCCTGCACTTACTATGGCAGCCACCAGGGGGAGCCCTGGAGATGCCCAGATCCAGACGGCCCTGCCTGGAGTGCTCAGGATGAAAAACATGGCCCAGCTCTGGCCTGATCTTGCTTCAGCTGATCTCAGAAGGGGGTGTGTTGGGGCAGGGAGTGTAGGCAGGCTCTACACTCAGTAGCCCACTATGTGCTGCTCATTCTGGGGGAATGCAGGATGGACACTGCTGCTGGCACTCATGAAACCGCCTTAGGGATGGGAATGAATCCTGACGGGGTTGGACTTTGCAGAGCTTGAGCCACTGAATCAAATCTGTGTGTATATAAAATTTGTCACTTGTGTATTTATTATATTTATCCTGCCTTTTTTCTTCCAAGAAACTCAAGGTGGAATTCTCCTCTCAATTGTATACCCACAACAACAATCCTGTGAAGTGGGTTGGGCTGAGAGCCTGTGGCTGGGCCCAAAGCCACCCAGTATGCTCCATGGCCAAGCAGGGACTGGAACCCAGACTGGCTGAGTCCCACGCTCTTAACCATTACACCATACTTGCGTTACCTGTTAAGGGGTGAGCCATGCAGCTCTCCCGATTGGATCAGGCATACCTGAATACGGGCCCCCTCCACACCTTGTCTGAGGTGAGGCAATGAGAGCTCTACATATGAAACATGGCAGTTCTGCCTAAGTAGGTCATCTCCTGCAGTCCCTGATGTATAAGACCACGTGTTTTGGTGAGCAGGGCAGGAGGGGAAAGAAAGATGAACTGTGATGTACATCCTTCTTTCTGGTACTGAACCACTGTGGTTCAGGAACTGCCCTTTGGTGCTTGCAGTGTGGACTTGGATTCTTGGAATCTTCTTTTGTCACCTCCGGCTTGCTGAAAATGAGTGGGAGCACAAAATGTCACTGGGGCATTTACGTTTCTTTATTAGATTTAAGTTACTTCTTTTCACAGAATCCGGTAAAATAATACTGTAACAACTGTGGCAATTCCATGCATACATTATTTTATACAATTTAAAATACTTCTCATATGTGATTGCAGAAATCCTTAAAACAGCCTTGTAAGTTAAGTTGGAATTTATTCCACCCCAGCTCACCCCCACATTCAAGAAGCAATTGCTTAGGAAATTGAGCTATGACTCAATTTTATTTAGCTGCAGAACTGCCAAATAATCCAATACCTCTAATCTATCATTTCCATACATGAATGAATTTTAAACGAGATCTTGAAAGTCTGTTTGGATTTTTAAAAAGTTTCTCTTGGCAACATTGCACTGTTGTTTTTGCTTCCTCTGCCACCGCCATGTGATGTTTGAAGCTTCTTGTGTTGCGCCTTTCACTCCTACAGGCTTCCAGGAAGATCACTCATCCCCCCCTTTGATGCAGGTGTGGGTTTGCTTGGCAAGGCCTTCTCACAGACATAATAGCTATCAGAAGTGCAGGTGAAATCATTCCATTCCCCATTGATCCACAACTGGCCACAGTCCTCATCACGGCCTTGATAATTATTGGGTTCTCCTGCCTTCCAGTTCCTGTGGTAGAAGCAAGATGTGTGTGTTTCCCCACCAACATTGCAGGAAAAACAACCTAAAATTCAATCATTTTATTGGCATTATCATCAGGGAGGCTAAGCCATTTCCCCAAATTTCTGACAAACTAATTTCTGCCTTTCTTTGTTAAATCTGGAGGTCCCTTCTAATCCATACATGTTTAATCAGAGATGAGTCCCAATGAGTTCTGTGGGGTTTACTTCAAGGTAAGGGAATAGCATAGAATAGTGGAATAAATACCACTACTACAGTAAAATGATCATGATATACATACCTTCAGAGGAATGCAGCCGTGCTTCTGTCCAAGTCCATGATTTAGTCCAGAGAAGTGACTCATGCACAGTTAGATTGGGCTGCTTTTGGGTCAAGAGATGGTTAACCCGTGGCCCTCCAGATGGTTTGGCCTACAACTCCCATCAGCCCTAGCCAGCATAGAAAATGGAAAGAACTGATAGGAGTTGTAGGGTCAAGCACGCTCCATCTCTGCTTTGGGTCCTTTAGAGTTACAAGAGTTTGCCTGCTTGGGGGACACCTGGATGCCTTGCATGAAGTTTGAGAATCACTACTCTAGAATGCTGCAGTATCCACATCTCTTGATGCTGGGGTGGGGAACGTGTCGTGGTTGTGTTGACTGCCACACCCATCATCCTTTACTGTCGGTTGGTTTGGCTATGACTGATGGAAGTTGCCATCGAAAACCCCTGGAGGGCCACAGGTTCATGTCTTCTTCATGTGCAGAGGATCTGCCATAGCAAAAAAGACCCGCTTGCTGTATACACTGCACCTGCTGAAATTCTCCCACCTATCCCCCTACAAATGATGCTGCGGCCCTACCCACCTTTTTGCATCTGGCCACCCTACGTGGGACATGGGGAATTCATGAGCAAGGTCTCCTACATTTTTTTTTCTTTTCAAAAGTTAAAAGCAGTGAAGGCAAGGGTACTTCTTGTGTATTTGCCTGGCATGGTTAACAGCCACTTCAGTGCAAGGGGTGCCTTTTAGAAACAGATGGGGAAAGGATTAAAAAAAAACCCTCTCCCCGCCCCCCAGAGCCTAACCCTTTTCCAAATGCCCAACTCCTGTTGTTAACATTGGAGAAATTAAAAAAGCAGAGGAGATCCTGACCCTGAAGATCTACTCTTGGTGTACAGTTGTGGTAGATGAATGCTCAAGGCCAAGTATAAGGTTGAAAATGGTGCATAACAGAAGCACAGTGCAAACTGTGATTAGAAAGGTGAAGGTCTGCCAGATTTGGGGAGGCAGGGTGGGGGGTTAATGGCTTTTTTGGAAGGGAACTTTCTGGAAAATTTGGAGAATTTTTTTTCACTTTTTCTTCTCATTCAACCAATCTCCTAAGTTTCTCTCCTCAAGCTTTCAAGGGCGGCAGTGGAACCTCCCTCGCTCAGACACACATGGTGCATACACACACATGTGAATTCTGCTCAGTTTGGAATTTCAAGTCAACAGCTTGAGGAGAGAATTGGTGAGCCTTGGAAGCAGGGAGAAATGTGGGCTAAGGGATAAAAGGGTTAATAATCTTTAATTTTTCTGCACCCCAGTGTAGAGGCTCTTATGTGGAGTTGCCTTCTAAACCAAGAACTAGTGTGGGATCTTTTCCCATAAAGAAATGGTGTGAGGCTGGAAAGAAAGCAAAACATTCCTGGAAGGCCCAGTGAGTTCAGAATTGGCGAGTTTGAGTTCTGTACTCAGTTTTTAAGAAAATGGGCCTTGTCCAGCTGCAATGGCAGGTCCCTTCCTCATGGCCATCAAGGGATTGCCCTGGGCTTACTTGAAGCCAGTTCTGTAATTACTGCCATCCAGCCATTTCCACTCTCCTTCTGACTGTAGCTCATGCAGCCCAATCCAATACCGGTCATTTCTGGTCCGGGTTTGTAAGAAGTTCTGCAAGAGGAAAACAAAATTTAAAAAAATGATCCTTTATCAAATATGGCTGTCATATTGGTCTTGATGGTTGTATAAAGATGAAAGTGCTGGGGATATCCCCATTGTGAGTGTTACTACATGAAGCTGATAATCTGCTGTATCTACTTTTGGTTATGTTGCAGCATTGAGGGCCAATAGCTGCATGGATTTTTCTGCTACAGAACCACTAGGTGGCACTGAGCTACAGCAGAATAGGGCAACTGCAACAGAGGAAATGGTGCTTTCTTCCACTTTCACAATTAAGCATCACATTTCCCCTGCCCTAATCAAAACCCCTCACTATATGTGTTGCTAAGACACTGAAGAGAAACTAGAGGGTTCTGTCATCAGAACCCATAACAACTGGGAATAGGGGATGGTTGCATAATAGAGGATAGCCCTGTATCAAAAACAGAGAAGAAAGTGGAGGAACCTGGGCTTAAAGCTCTCTCTACCTGCAAACGCAGGATGTGAGTGCCCACAGAATTAAAGTCAAAATGGGGTCACTGCGCAACAAGAGGGGGCAGGGAACTGTAAAAAGTCTAAAACTCTAAAAAAAAAAAAAAAGAACTTTGCAAAAGTCCCCACAGTCCGTCCGTCTGTCCATCCGTCCTTCCTTCCTTCCTTCTGGTGGTTGGGAAAAGAGTGAGGGAAGCATCTTTTGGTCTTAAAAGATAACGATTCTGCTGTGATGGAGGTGACAGAGGGGTGACGGAAGAAAGCACCCCAGACCATGACAAGTCGGGGGTCCCCAAAGCCTCCAAGTTTCCCATCTTCTTACCTGTTTTGCGAAACTATCTATGGTAACTAGCTGTGAATGTTGCTGTTCACACTGAAGCTTGGCTTGCTGCCAGGGAATTGCCTTCAGGGAGAAGTAGTAGCATTTCCCTTGGAAATATTCCCACTGTCTTGTATCAGCTCCACATGGGAACACTGGGCAAAGAAGAAGAGAAGTGAGCCAATGCTTGCTGCCATCTCAGCTTCTCAAATTTACAAGAAACTGTAGAAGCACAGGTTTATAGCAACTTACGATGGAAGTCATTGGCTAAGGGATCCTTCTCAAGTTCGGTGCGCACCTTGCTGAGTTCTGATGAAACTGTGGCTACTGGAATTGTAAAATGCAAGGAGGGAAGAGAAAGATCCATGTCAGCACTTTCTAGTATCACGCCACCCGGGTGCAATTATGCTGCATCAGGTGTGGCTAACCTTTGGCCCACCAGAACTTTGGACCTTTAACTCCCATCAGCCTTAGACAGCAAAGTAAATGGTGATGGCTAGAGGGAATGAAGGGCAAACTACTTGGAGGGCCCAAAGTTGCCCATTTCTGCAACATATCATGCACGAGTATGATTGCTAAGCACCATGAAAGAAAGCCCAAACTGCCTGGCAGAATGCATGTGTGCACATGTGTGTGTGTTTGAAACCTTTAAACAAGTTGCCACTGTTTTGTTTTGGTGGGAAAATGGGGAGGGGAGTGCTGGTCACTGGATGCAGCCAGGAATACAAATAAATGCAAAAATATTTAAACAAAGCAAAATCCAGATTATAGTAGCCTAAAGCTCTTCCTACCATTAACTGAGGCTTAGCAGAGGCACTTCAGTCTTTCTGATTGGAGGAAAAATGGTGCAAAAGCCAAGAGACTAGTAAAAGACCAGAATAGTTGGGGCTATGGAAATGGAGAATGGCTTTCTGGAGAAGCACAGAGGGCTAGATTTGGCCTGCTGGTCTAAGGCTCCCCACTCCTGTTATAGATGAGGTTGTTAGATGAGGAGCAGCACTGCAAGTGTCCTGTATCACTCCTTCATTCGGGCTTGGAACCAGAGCACAGCTTCAGACCATTATGGCAGGGCCTCTACACAGGGAAAGTAGGAATCGGAAGGCCTTGTGCAGCTGGGATTTTAAAAAAGCAGCAGCAGGAGGAAAACAGGGAAGGGAAGTGGGAGACATCATTGTCTAGATTCATCTTCCCCATAAAATTCCACGAATAAGGCAGAAGGATGATGGCAGAAAAGCACCGTTTGGCAGTGCTAGGCATTTGTCAGCTGCAGAAGGAACAGGAGGCTCTTTGCCCTGCTCCTCATTGGGTCCACCAGCTCCATCCAATAAATCCTCACCTTTCCAGATAAGATGCTTTACTAATAGCACATACCTTTGGTGAGAGTTACCACAAAGCCAATGAAAACCAGCAGGTAAGAGATGCCCAGCAGTGCATAGATGAGGAAGAATGGCCTCTGAATAACACTTCTCCCTGGATGTGAAAAGAAGAATGAGATGGTGGAAACTCTATCCTACCCTGAGAGCAGGAGAACAATGCATCTGCTTGACAATTACTCCCATTGTCCCTGGTCATGGCCATGCTGGCTGGGGCAGATGTGAATTTGAATCCAGCAACTTGTGGAAGGTCAAGGGTTCTTTAAGCCTGCTGTACCACATTGTTTTAGGAGTTGTCTCTGAAATGTTCCTTTTTCCAACCTGGTGACCTTCAGAGACATTTGGACCGCAACTCCCAGAATTCCCATCCAGCAGGGCCATTGACTGGGAATTCTGGGTGTTGCAGTCCAAATGTGTTTGGAAGGCACAAAGTTGGGGAAGGCTGCCTTATATTGTCTGAACCCAGCCAAGATTGCAAACTACAGTGAAGAACCCACAGTTTGTTATCCAAGGAAATCTTTTACAGTTATATTAATAGGATTCTATAAATGCCTCTCCAATTTTGTCAGCCATCTCTAACTGCAGTGCAAGGCTCCAGTTAAATACCATTGTGCAGCTTTTCTCAGTTCCTTCCTTAACATCCATCTATCCATCCATCCATTTATTTGCTGGCAAGAAGAAGGGCAAGTAGCCGTGGAGAAACATGGGAGGGTTAGAAATTTAAGAGCGTCAGTTATGTCCTGTAAAATTCCATGAAGGAGGCAAGCTAGCTCAACAAAAGGTTTGTCTAGAGGCCCCCTGGCCAGTAGGCACTCTTTCATGGTTGCTTTGCATGCACAGCGGAATTTGAACATTGTTTTTTTGGAACAACAGACCCCTGTGCCATATGGAAGAAAGTCCCCATCATTAGCTGTGTAGCACGTGGAGTACGTGAGAATCACAAATCCATATCTCCTTTGAGTGCACAGGATATTTGCTACACTAGACAGGATCATATGAGTGAAAGCCACTCACTGATTTTTTTAAAAAGTAATAGCCATGGAGTAATGCCAAAGGAAGTGCATCTCCTGCTGGAAAGGGAAGAGAGCAGTGGGGGAGGGGGCGGTCAGGTGGAGATGCTACACCCCTCCTGCCACAGACTCCCTGCTGCCCCTTCTCTTCATGACTGCTCTTTACATAAAAATGAACATGTTGATTACAGTCCTTCAATTAACTTCATGTTTGACATGACCCTTAGTCACCATGTCTGCTAGATCTGTGCCTAAGGTCTTACAGTCCATGCAGTACAGTGGTAGTGGCATAGACTGTTTTGCTAGGTTTAGAATAAAGGTGGGGATGGTCTTGATTTTGCAGTGATCCCTGAAAACAGAAATCTAGTGCAGCAAGGAGTGGGTTGCACTGAAACCTTTGTTCTGGATATGCTAATATTGTAGTTGCAGGGAATTTGGGGCTTTTTTTACTGATGGCCCAAGCACAAATGGTACTCCTTAACTGCTGCCAGAAGTGTCCATTTTGCAACTTCATGCTGCAGTATTTGGTCACCTAATTTGTGGAAAAGACTTCGAACAGACTTTAACCTCTTTGTTATGCAAGTATACAGAATAAGATTGCAACTCATTAAAATATTATATGTTTTTTCATGATTTGGAGTTCTTTTCCCTTTCTGTATTTTTAATTGCTCTTCTTCGTAAAAAATCGTAATATTAGCCTGCCTCTCTTACTGTAAGTATTGGGCATTTTGATCTGAGGTCTGTGCTAAATTATGAAGTATAAAGTACTAATGATTGAATATGACATTGAAATGTTTTAGTGTTGCTTTATCAGATACATCATATAACTGTGTATTAATTAAATAAGCATTGATTTGTCTTTGTACAAGTCTCATCTTCACGGTGGCTTGCTCTTTTGCTACAAAACAAACAGCTATATATTTCATGATGCAAATGACAACATTCTGGATTTATTTCCAAAAAGGGAGCTAAATTTTTCATCTGATTTTTGTGTCTGCTTCAGTTCTACTTAAGATGATAGTTGTTCTACCAAAAGAAAGTGGTCGCACTGCTAAGTAGTACATGCCTTTTCTTAAACTAAAGGAAGCACATCTGTCAATGCAAATTGGCTGACATTACAGAACAGGGCAAAAAGTTTAAAGCCCCCATTACTCTCTGCCAGTTGTAAGTTGAGTTCAAAATGCTATTTGTGCAATTATGAATTGTTTGACAGGTGTCTCATCTGATTTTGTCTTTAAGTGCTTTGCACTTATGGCCCCTTAGCGTACCTCTGGGCGACCTGGAGAAAAGCTTCGCCAGTTAATCTCTGTGAAGAGCTGCAGCCTAACAGGGAGACAGGAGAACCTCCAGGCACAAACTAGCTCATCTTTGACAGACCCCAAACATAAGAGATAATCTTTACCTTTGTAAGCCCGGAATGCATCATTTTCTTCATCCATCTTGCAAGCTGTGTGTATGGGCAGGGGTTGCCTTTGTGCTGTTTGGAAACACTTTCTAAAATAGGGACTTTGTGATTTCACTGGAGTTGCTCTATCAAAAGGTTAATTATCAATTTGGGAGGATCCAGACCTCATCCCTGTTCCTCTGTCCTCAGACCACTTGTTTCTGGAAGGCAGCCACCTCCCCCACTGCATACAAATCTAGCAAAGTTCATGGGCAACTCATCTTCTGATGAATCTTTACCAGTATCAGGTATCCCACTTTACCATCCTCTTTTGGGAGGTTCCCACTGTTTGAAGTGTCCTCTGCTCCAAAGATCACAACTGGATGTGCATGACAAGCTAAGCCATTGTGACATTGAAGCATTGGTGGCTTAGCAAGCTGCCCAAAACTAAATGTGCTCTAAAACCACCCTGTGAAGCCATGGATTGCTCTAACCCTCTCTAGCTTACTGTGTCATCTGAACTCAGGTGACATGCAAAACCTCTGTCAAGCAAAAGCAGCAGCAACAACAAACATGCCTATTGGCCAGAGCAGTCAAAAGTCTTGCCAATTGGCTCTGGGCTGCTGTTGTGGGGTGGGGGTGGGCATTGATATTGGGTTTTTCAGGAGGAAGCTGATGCAACTGTTACATGGATCTTGAGGAGTGGCATGCTGTGGCAATTTCCCCCCTGCCTGCTGGCATGATTGCAAGGCAGTCAGGCGACTGGCAAGGGGCAGAAGAGGCTCGTTTCCTTCAGCCTTCTCTGCAGGAAGCTCAGGAAATTGCCCTCTTTGCTTGGCAGCACCCAGCAATGGGAAGGATGAGACACCTCACCTTCCTCTCGGGGAAGTCCAGGGTGAAGCAGCTCATCCCCCTGCTGGTGGCTGGACAGCTGAGTGGTGGTGCCACCCAAAATGAGAAGCGATGTATCCTCCCAGGGAAGCCCAGTGCCAGGTGGATCTTGAGCTCAGGGTGGCTGCAGAACCATCCTGGGCTTAAAATGTCCTCCAAACCCACTCAGTGTATCTTCAGTAGGGAGAGGTGGGGAGGAGCTTGCTGTTGCCCATCATCAGTTAGCCCCTGATCCCGGGACTGCGAGCTGAACTGGCACCCAGTTCACCTCACCATACTCTTCTGCCTTATTGGTGAAATACACAGCAAATTACAGGAATGATTTTGAAATGTACATCTCTACACAAATATCATTAAATGCATTTTTAATGCTCATAATCCCTGTTTTACCCTCCTTTTGCTAAAGGCCCTGTTCCATGTTCTTACCAGTTTACTTTTGGAAAATGGGGGTAATCTAAGCAGGGCCTCTGACACAGGCTCATGAACAGAAAGAAGTGCAGAAGCCATCCACCAGCAGTGCTGAAAGACTTTTGTCACCCCATTATCAGTCCTTTCTCTTTTCTTCTTAGCTTTAGAAGATTGCAGACAGGGACTGTGTTGTTTTATTATGTAAGCACTGAGGATCAGGATCAATTTGCTACAAACCACAAATGGGAAGTCCTACAGCTGTTTACAGTTCATACTAGTACTGTGAATTGCACCAGAGAATAAAATGGTGATCAGCGTAGAACCAGAAAGGTATGTCCCTTATTATTAGAAGCAGCTGGCAATCTGGCTGCTGTAGTTTGCACCAACTGCACTCTTGGAACAGTATTCAAATGCAGCCCTACACTGTAACAATCCAGTATATTGGGGTGTTTATGACTCTTATTTTTCCAGGAAGTCAAGGCTACAGTTGGCAAGGCAGACAAAGGAGACATGAGGTACACCAAGCCACAGTGGATTCTTGAACATCAATCTGCTAGGTTGAGTCTTTCCCCACAGCTTTCTCCAGGTGGGAAACCATGAGATGCTTTTAGACAACAACTTCCAGTATTCCTTGCTAGCTAGCTAGGACTGAAAGGGGTTAAAAGTCAGAAATACCTGGGGGCACCAGGTTGGGGGAAGAGCATTCTCACATTTCCAAGGCACTAACTTGGGAGTGTGCAACTCTTCAGTAGAAGGGCTTCAGTCCCCAAGCCCCAGTCAACCATATCAGCAAGCATCCCTTTACTGGAGGGTGTCGTGCCTGAAGCCCCGACAGAGACAGCACCTCACGAGGAGGTCTTGCACTTGGGACCCTGCATCCAAAAGCCAACCCCGCAACCTAGCTTGGGGACGGCTGAGCAGGTAGCCACACCTCCCCCTGACTCCCTGCCCATTGAGCAAACACCCGAGCCCTCATCAAAGCAACAGACTTCTGAGGGAAAAGACACCGCCAGTTCCACTCAGGAAGGGTCAGAGCAGGCTGCCCCTCCTCCCTCTAACGCTGAACTTCCTGAACACGAAGCAGAAGACGCAGGGGGCGTGGTTGACTTTTCTCTAGCGACCAATCGCAGAATTCCAAGAAGATACGAGCAAAAGCAGAGACAGTTACGTCAGAGGGAAGAAAGGAAGGACGAAGAGAGGGCTTCGAGAGAGACACCACTAGAGGGTTAACATCTGCATTTCAAGGACCTCAGCTAAAGAGCTTATCTATTGAGATGTAAATCTTGTAGACAAATAGCAATAAAGGACTCTAGTTTTATTGCTCATGTATGTGTGGGTTGTTTACATGTTGAGTGCCACCTCAACAGAGGGTGACGTCAGTGGTCCCAATTTTCAAAAAGGGTGGTAGAAGGGACATGGGGAATTACAGACCAGTTAGCCTTACGTCCATTGTAGGAAACACAATGGAAAGGCTCATAATAGACAGAGATCTAGCGATGCTAGATAGCGAAGGGAGGCTGACAGCCACACAACACAGCTTCCGCAAAAACAGATCCTGCCAGACAAACCTTGTGGAATTCTATGACAAGGTTTCGAGATGGCTAGATGGAGGGGATGCAGTGGATGTGATTTACTTGGATTTCAGCAAGGCCTTTGACAAAGTGCCCCATGATATCCTGGTGGAGAAACTGAGGAGTTTTGGGATACACCAAAGCACTGTCCGGTGGATTAGGGGATGGTTATCTGACCAAAAGCAGAGGGTACCCATTAGTGGGGAATCATCGGGATGGCGGCCAGTGACAAGCGGGGTCCCCCAGGGCTCTGTCCTGGGCCGATCCTGTTGAATCTTTTCATTAATGACATGGAAGAATAGGTGAACAGTCTGCTGATCAAATTTGCACATGATACTCAAACTGGAGCAGTGGCCACAACAGAGGAGCAGGTACTCCAGATCCAAAAGGATCTGGACAGACTATGGAAGTGGGCAGGAGACAACAGGATGGCGTTCAATGTGGGTAAGTGCAAGGTCTTGCACTTGGGGCACAGGAATAGGTGTCATAAGTACAGGTTAGGAGACAAGAGGCTGGAGAGCAGCACTTGTGAAAGGGACCTCAGGGTACTGGTTGACTGCAGGCTAAACCTGAGTCAGCAGTGTGATGCGGTGGTTAAGAGGGTGAATGCCACTCTTGGTGGCATAGCCAGAAATGTGGCTTCTAGATCGAGAGAGGTACAGTATTACTACCACTCTATACAGCTCTAGTGTGCCCGCAAGTGGAGTATTGTGCTCAGGTTTGGGCCCCTCATTACAGGAAGGATATAGCCAGGTTAGAGTCAGTGCAGCGTAGGGCCACAAGGTTGGTGGTTGGTTTGCAGGGGATGCCATATGAGGTGAGACTGAGGGAACTGGTCCTATTCAGCCTGGAGACTCAGAGGGGATATGTTGGCGACATACAGGTATGTGAGGGGATGTCACATGGAGATGGGTAGAGGCCTGTTCTCCCCTGCAGAGGAAGGCAAAACGCGCTCCAATGGAGCAAAGCTCAGGGAGCCAAGGTTCCATTTGGATGCCAGGAAGCACTTCCTGACAGTCAGGACCCCGAGGATGTGGAATGGGCTTCCACGGAAGGTTGTTGAGGCCCCATTGGTGCGGGTGTTCAAGGATAGGCTGGACATAGACATGGTAGGCGTGTCATGAGTGGAGATGCCTGGAGCCGGGGGTCAGACTAGATGGCCCAGGAGACCCCTTCTGACTCGCTCTGTTTCTATGTTTACTGTTCCTGATCCTTCTAATCTGCCATAGCAGACTTCTGCTCAGGACCTCTGCCACCTCCTCACCTGAAGCAGACTGAAAGGTGAAGCTGTGTGTCACCAACATTCTGGACATTCTCTCCCAGCAAATGCGGGATATTGTGAAATAGCTTGGAGGACCAAACCAGTCTGTGCTCTACACAAGCCCAAGCAAGGACAGCGAGTGGAAACTTCATAATCAGAAGGCGGGGCCTAAATTGTCCTCTGTTTGCCATGCCCACTAGTCTAGTGACAGCTATCAGTAGCAAGATCAAAATCAATAGCTCCTGTTGGTTTAGGCCATATGCAAATATTATAATTCTCTATAATCCAGAGCATGGGTAAGGAGGCACAGTTTCCTGGATCTTGTGTGTTCAGCACCAATTGGATTCTGAGAGGTGTGAATTCTTGTATTTGACACAGACTTCAAACATCTGAGCATTGGCTGTTTAAATGCATGTTTCTAGACCTGATGGGTGTGGGGAACATATGGACAGTGTCAGGTGGAATTCTAAATTTAAATGGAATATCACTAGCTTCCAGGGAAGAAAAGCAGGTGCCTTAGTTCAGCAGTTTCTTCACTTGCTATGTTCTCACTAAGTTCTTCTCATAGTTTCTTTTACTGTGCCTAATTCTGCTTTTTTAAAACCAAAAGAAAGTCTCCTATACTGGACATCTGTTTCAGTTTCCCCATCCCAGGTTTTTGAAATTGCCACAGGCTCTTCACTGTGGACAAACAGCACAGCCCTGTGGTAGGGCACAAGCTTTGCATACAGAAGGTTGCATGTTTAATTCCTGATATTTTCCTGTGAGGCCAGGAGAGATTCCTGCTCAAATCTCCGGAGAAATGCTGCCAGTCAGTGCAGGCAACACTGAAGTGGACCACTCTGACTCAGCATATGACAGTTTACTACAATACAGCAGAATCCACCTGTGATACTTCCATGCTTAGCCAGGGATGACTTGCTACAAAACAGTCTGGAATCTCCCAGGGCAAAAACAGACCCTACTGTAATCGATCTAAACAAGTGTGCAGCTCCTTTCTCAGCCCAGCTGACAATGCCTGTGAGCACACATTGCAGCAAGCTACATCCAGTGAAGCTCAGCTTGTTTTGCCAGAACCCCACAAATTGTGGTTCACCTTAACCATGTGTTATGTGAAATGGCTAATCTTGATCTGAAGGTTGTGACGCTGGTTTTCAACTAACTGTAAGGTTATGGAGAGCAAAGTGGATAAAAATCAATGATTTATTTTTTTTTAAGAAAATGATTTTTAAAATTTAAATTGGATTTTTGATATAAATTGGGAGGTATCTGTTGCTGAAGGGATTTGTGCTTTTAATTGCCTGGAGGTGCCCCCTTCTCTGATGGTGGTTTAACATTGTTTTTAATTTCTTTTACGGGATAGTTTAACTCAGATTTTGTTTGACTATGAGTTTTCCACGAAGAAAGACAGGCTACAAATAAATCCTTTCATTCAGTCAAAACTGCTGTACCTTCAACAAGGGAGTTGCTTTTGCAATTAGTCTATAAAACACAATGCACACTAAGGACACAATACAATTAGCAATATCAAAAAAATTTGGAGTTGCTGCAACAGTTCTGGAGGGCTCAAATGGCTGAACAAGAGGTACATATATGTAGATTCTTTGGTCACTGAGAAACAAAACACTGGCTAGAGCTGAGACAAAGTGTGCAGTGTCCCCAAACAGGGACCCTAGTGATATTTGCAGTTTTTCCACTTTTGCAGGGGTCCTGCAGTTTCAGGCATCTGCTGAAGGGCTTAGAACCTATCCCCCATGGATATGGGGGTCCTAGTGTATGATGAAAAATTTCTACCTGACATATTAGATGCCCCTGCCCCCCATTTTTGCCTTGCTATTTTCAGTTTCAAGTGTCATCTTATACATGGTATATATGGTATTTCTAACCCTCCCCATGCCTGAAACTTCTGGGCAGTGTTCCTCCAGATGGTTCTGAGGCTGATATTAGGCATGACAAGGGTGCAAATCAAAGCTTTTCAAGAAAAGTTAGAGGCTCTGTGTATGCCACAATCTCACAGGTATGCAGAAAACTGTAGAATAAGGGCAGAGCTTCTGGATAATCTTGGCATTCATTAGACAAAGAAAGTACATGGTAGTGAAAATAAGCTTTACTGTTTGTGTTTTGTCCTGCCTTTTTCAGCTAATGTGCCCTCTGGAGGAATGTTTATTTGTAATCTACCTTGCTTATAAAATTTCTTAGCAGTACACTCTATTTTAAAAAATCGAACATAATCTTTTTACAGCATATGTTTCTTTCATCCCTCACCAGTGGAAATGTTTCCAGTTGAAAGAGCTGCAAAGTCGCAGTACAACTGCTTCAAGTATCATTGTTGCTGCATCCCCCTTTTGGGACATAGAGGTTGTATTTGGAAATAGCAATAAAGAACAGCTCATTGTGAAAACAACAAGCTGGAGCAAATCTTCAGCTGGCATGATCTCTTCCTTCAGCACAGAGGAAATAGAAAGCTTTCCATTAACCACCTGGAATGAAGTTTGGAAATCCACAAAGGCATGCATCCAATCCCATAGTTTCTGGGAACAGTTAAGTTTTGGAGCCCATATTGCTAGGTGCAGCCATTTCAGAATTTTTTTGGCATAAAAACTTGATCAGGTCTCAACTAAATTTCTTTCCAAGCGTAAGAAAAGCAGCTCTGTAGGATTCATCATCATCAGGACCAGCAATCATCAGGACCAAAATGTGTCACCCTATTTAAGCTTTAAAAACTCTTACTGCCCACAACTCAGTCTTAACAGTCCAATAGAGTCTCAATTGTTGCCTCTTTCTAGCTGATGTTTAGCATTCCCATGAGAAGCTTGTTAATTTAGCTTTCAGATAGAGGTAAATTTAATTTAAATGTCAGCTAAGACCTAGAAAGGCCCTCAGCATTTTGCTGGCCATACTTCAGTTACTTACAGAGCTATTATCCATTGTGTGGGTGAGCTTGAACTAAATAAGGCCAGGTGGCTCTGGACAGGACCTTGGCCAAACAGAAAATGTTCACCACCATAAGAGCTTGGTCCTAGGTCAACTACCTAGCATGGGACTGTCCGAGATGTAATTATTTTCTCCAATTAGTCGTGTACAATACCTACTGTTGTTGTGATTAACAAGAAAAAAATTAAGTTAAATAATAAAAAGCCTATATGAAGTTAAAGAATCTGATCCTGGATTCTTCACCTAGTTACAGAAGGTGATGTGTGCCTGCCAAAAGTCCATCCAATGCTGTTTTTTTTGAAAGGTTTCTAACAGCAGAAGGGGTGTAAACATTAAACTCTAACTATCTTGCTTTCATAATCTCTTTTTTGACAGGCTGCTAACTTTTATCCACAAGTGTGCTTATTGTCTCTAGATCCCCAAGAAGAAATACAGCCACTGGCAGAGTATTGTTAATTTCTTATAATGGAGGTTTGTTACACAGTTAACAAATTTTGGTGCTGCATAAGGCTGGCTAGAAAGATGTTTATTGCCCAAACTGTGTGACCTACTCATGCTCAGCCTTTAGATTTCATAAGAAATTTGAAATCTTGTCTTTCTGTTCTAGTTTGAGGCTCAAGGACATTTAATGAAGCCTGTGACTATGAGAGTTAGTGACTTTTATTGAAAAGCTAAAACAAAATCAATGAAGTTATATTATACTGAATGGCAGCCATTGCATTAACTAGCACCTGAAAGTGAAATCAAAGCAACACACTAAATATTTACAAAGAAAAATAATTTTATGGCACAATCTTTCATGTGGGTTCAACAGAAAATCCCCCATCATTCCCCAGACAGCCATGTTGGTTGGGGCATGCTGGGAATTATTTATTTTTCCTCTGTAAGTATGCTTAAGATTGTACCCTTGGAATATATCAGCCTTCAGCAACCTGTTTGGGAAGGTTGAGGAAAGCTGGAATACAGATTTTAGGTAATTAAAGGTAAAAGCCAAAATATGCCCACTTTCAAGGGTAGCACATCAGTTGGACAGGCTGATTTTTTTAAGCTAATGCAAACATGACAAGGCTCTTGGAAGTACAGGCATCTGCCACTTTAGCTTAGCATTAAAAAGACCATGTTTTTTCCTAGGTTACTTGAAAGAGTACTTGAAGCAAGGGATGAACTATACTAGAATAGAGCTGCTTTGTAGAACCAACTCAGGTGGTTTTCAAAGGACACAGGTATGCATCCTATCTCTCTAATGCCCACACAAACACTCGTTACTGAAGCTGCTACTGCAGGGCTGGAGAACCTGCAGCTTGCCTGGTGTAGTTAGACTGCAACTCCCAGCAGGCCTAGCTGTGATGGATCATGGGCGGTCCAGTCCAACAATGCTGGCAGGGCAAGATTTTCCCCAGTCTGGTGCTACTGATTCCTTCTCACTGGCCACAGCCCCTCTGTCCACAGTCAGGGAAATCTGCTGTGTGTGCAGCGGTGGTTAAACTATTAGCCTGTGAGAGCTGAAAGAACCTGCTTTTGAAGCTTCTCACTGTATTGCCTCTTGCATCTCCAGCTGCATATAGAAGAAAGGGCAGGAAGTGGCTGAGCAGATATATCCCCAAACTGCCATCTTTTGAGCTCTCTCACCAGGCACTCACTAATGCTGAACTCACTCAGGGATTACGATTTCACACTGAGATCTGTGCTGGAGACAGTGTTTGCTACAACGCAGCTTGGCAAACCTGCCTTGATGCTGTGGATCACCTCTTCTTCCAAATTCATCCCACTTAAATCTAGATGCTTTAGATGGGGCAACATCTGGCAAACAGCTGTAATAGTCTCGGAGGAAAGCCCACTGCAGGACTCCAGGCACAGTTCCTCCAAGGCAGGCAAGCTACTTAAGCAAGAAAGACCTGTGTTTGTCAGAGAGAAACTGCTCCCGAGGTCTAAATGGCACAGATGCTTCATGTGGCGCCCAATGAAGTATGCGGCTGAGTCACCAATGCTACACTGGCACAAGGCAAGGTGCTCAAGCTCTCCCAGGTGTGGTGCAGCTCTCTGGATCCCAATATCTGTTACCCTGTAAGCCTCAGAGAGGACAAGCATTTTCAGAGTGCCCTGGACTGCAATATTGAATAAGTGCTGGTTAGAAAAGGCAGGGACATTTTGGATGATGAGGTGTTGGAGCTTTGGGAAGCCCTGGCCTGCCTGAGGGGCTTCAGGCACTTGGAACCACAAAGAAGGGATCTCACAGCAGGTCAGTTCCAGGGTTGTGAGAGAGGAGGGGAGGCAACTGTAGGAGACCATGCGGAGATCTGTCTTGGTCAAGCACAGGCGGTGGAGGCTGGGGCACTGCTTGCCCAAGGCCTGCATTAGTGCCGGGGTAAATGCTTCTTGCTTCTGGGTGGAGTGAAGAGATCCTTGTGCTTTCAGTGTCTGGAGGTTGCCTCGGAGATGCTTCCGCAGCAGGTGCCAGAGGACCTTGGAGGGTATCTGATTATACAGGAAAGTGGAGTTGGCAAGGGAGAGAAGCAGGTGAAACATCATGAAAATAAGAAGGGAGGGCTATAACTGCCAGAAACAAACTCTTTCAAGTCTAAAGTTGCAACCTGCAGACACATACAGGAGAAAAGCCCAGTGAACTGAGACATATTTGCATAAAACAAGCCACAGGAGAGTTGTGGGCCAAAACAGCTTGAGGGTCACAAGCTGCTCATCCCTACTTTAGATGAAGTTTGCACATTTGGGCATAAAATGGAGAACATTTAAATCCAAAAGAGGATCTGGGGAATCTAAGGAGAGAGATGGGCTGTTTGTTTATACATAACATGCTTTGATAATGTTAACGCCTTTGTGAATCCTGAAAGATGACTGAATGATACTACAACCTTATGCTGTTTACTTAGAATTAAGACTGCACTGTGTTCAATGGGGCTTACTGTCTAGTAAGTGAATTTTGGATTGTGGCAGAGCCTCTGCTATGAGAGACAGTTTTTGTGATTTAATCAATCTGCTTTGGTATGGTTCATTCTGGAGAAAGAATAGAACAAGAAAAAGTAAGCATCTCAACAGAACCAGCAAGTTGCTCCAGCATGCTGGGAGAATGGTTAAGCATAAGTTAGGCTATCCTTAGTACTGGCAAATAGAAAGAGTTTATTACAAGTCTGGTGACCAGGCTGTGGTGAAGACAGGAATTTCCTGCTAGGTTTTAATTAAAACCTGACTAGAAAGGATTAAGCAACAGGATTCATGAAGGAGAAAACTGTCTTGATAAATATTCTACGGATGGTGGGATTAGCCAAGAAGGAGCTGAAAGTAATAAATTCATCAAGAATGGTTTCATGAATTCTAATTTGGATTAAAATATCTAATTAGGAGGCAGAACACAATAGAATAGTAATGAGGTAGGGATATATATGAAGTTTTACTCATCCAAGTGACCCCTCCTTTCTCCATAAGATAAACTAGGAAGTCAGAAAAATAAGAAAGCTTGGCTCCAACTTGGAACTAGCTCACAAACTGACTCCATCTGTATATCTGCAACAAGGGTCAGCCTTGATGGACAAACTTATCAGTTCTCTCTTTCAGAAAAGGATTCTTGTCTTCATGCTGTTTTCTCTCACTGGATATACAGGGTGTAGGGTTCTTTCTTGTTTTAAGGATCACATAGTGTGAATGTATGCAATTTATGTTGTGCTATCTAAAATGTAAACTGATGACATTAGAACTGCAGTTCAAGACTCTATCTTTCATATAATAAAAGTATTCTTCATATTCTAGGTGGGTCCAGACATGCTTTAACATAGGGTGTTGAGGGATACATGCAGGGCAAATGTATGTTAGAATCCAGCAAAAGATCTTGCTCCTTCTGGGAGTGTGGGATTGAGGTAGGTAATACATGAAGATGCCAACCTCAAGATGTAACAGGTCTATGCAAACGACTTTCCTTCCCAATATAGGCGAAGCAGTTTATAATCAGGAAATTACTATTATTATTACATTTTATACCCCTGCCCACCTTTTTCCCTTTTGCTTGTAAGGAACTGAAGGTGCCTTACATAGCTCTATTTTATCCTCTGGTGAGGAAGGTTAGGCTAAGACTGAGTGACTAGCCCAAAGTCACCCAGTGAACTTGATGGCTGAAGGGGGACTAAAACCCACATCTCCAGTACTCCACACTGGCTTTCCATAAAATAATATAAAATAGGCACATTCATTTATTTTCCTAGATTGTTCCCAAAGGCAATCCCAGTGCAGTATATTTAAAATTTTAAATAGATCATAAAATTAAACAGAGGCTTGTTCATATTTTTACTTTATTTTACTTAACGAAATGATACAGGGTGCCCTGGAACCTTGTGCCAGCCTGCGTACTTGACTACTAGTGTCTCTTAGAAAAAGTACAAGGTGGAGGTTGGACATACTTACTTTGTAAGAAGTCAAGTCCAAGTGTCTCCACAGCAATTTGTCCAGCACCAAGCGACGCCACTGTTTGCAGACTCTGTATAAAGAGCACATACTCTTGAAAAGGGGGCACAGGATGGGGCCTGAATTGATCTATGCTGGCCAGAGAGGAATCCTGGCAGGAGATGAGGATGCCAGACTAATCTGATCATTAAAGGGTTACATGGAACACAGTTAACACTTTCCAATGTTACAAAAATAAAAAGTTACAATCTTTCCCACTTGCCTACCAAAGAAGAAGCTCTGAAGCAGGAGAGGGGGAGGAAGGAGTGGGCTGCTGTGAACTGCCCTTTGTTTGACCTGCTGTTATCTGTCAAGGGCCAAGTAGCTTTCTTTGGACTGATGCCTGGTCAGTGTCAGCCACATTTAAAGGATGCACGCATGCTGATTTCCAAAAGAGGGTTTTTCTCTGGTCTAGCTATGTGTCAATGATTGCATGATTTTACCAATGAAAGGTACAACTATTGATTAGTACACCAGAGATTTAAAAAAAATAATAATTGGAGCTGTTTTTTTCTCTGGTTGTTATGCTTGTTTTAAAATTATATGGTAATTAAATATTTTATTTTAATACTTTAACGTATTAGTCACTTTGAATGCTATTCTTTGTTAGAAAATGAGCTATAAACAAGTAAAATGAATAATTCCATTAAAGCAGGCTGGGCTGGGGATTCCTACTTCAGTGGTACTCCTCAATTGCAGCTTTTATTTTGAGCTTTATAAGACTTACCCATTGCACTCCGTGGGTGGTGAAGCTATTTTGGGGATGGAATTCTGTATCATGGATTACTCTTGTAAAGCGGAGAAGCCCCACTGACACAGGAGTCACCAGATTCCCCTAAAATACTCTTGTGCCTTTAACATAGATTTGCTCTTGCAATTAACCTATTAACCGCGATGGACTCTGAACAGTTAGGAATAAGTTCCTTGTAAGTCGTCCATAGACTTTTGTAATGGACGGCAAAGAAAAACTTTAAATAAATAAATAAAATCAAAAGATAGGGCAACAGTTGCAGCAACAGGCACTCCCGGTCACGCATGGCTCAAAGGTCCTGGCAAGGAGGGCGTGCAACGAAGGAACAATGGACCGAACCACGATACAGAAGATGCGGGGTGGGGGAAAGCAGGGAAAAGAAAATTCTACGAAAGGCGAGGGAGAGCAGGGAGGACTCAAAGCACCCACCTTGCCCCGCGCAGTCGTTCCTGAGGCGGCAGCCACGTCATAATGTGCAGCAGAAGCGAGTCGGGCAGCGCGGAAAGGCTCTGCGCCTCCATTGGTCCAGTTTACGTCTGTTCGTTTGCAGTCCCCTCTTCCGCCCTCTCTAGGAGTCCGCGACAGAATTTCCGTTGGTGAGCTCCGTTCGCCCGCCACTTCCGCTTGCGCCATTGTTATTCCAGCAGCTGGTGTCTGGAAGCTGCTCGGCTCAGGTGTCTTCGGCGTTCCCCTTCGTTGAAGCGCATCTGTGCTCAAGTGCGTGATGGCGGCGCCGGTGACACTTTTCGCGTGGGCATTTGTGGGGAAAGGGGTGGGCGCTTGCTTTTCCACGGACGGTTGCAGGAGGGAGGCCTTGGGAGACGGGGGATGTCAGGAGCTTGTTAGGAATCCAAGAACGCTTTTCTTGAAGCGGATTAGTTAATTCGGAGTCATTAAGCAGGCGGTTTGCCCTTTTCTCACTCTGTAGGGTTTTTTGCTCCATTTTTTTAAAGAGTCAACGCGGGGTTGGGGATGCGTGTTTACAAAGCCCTTTTTCTAACTCGGGTAGCCAGATGAAGAACGGTTCTTGCGTCTTAAATAGAGTTACTCAGAAAAGGCCTCTACCCAGTGACGTCTGCTTGATAAATAGCCCTGGGTAGTATAGCTAGACATGAATCTGAGATAATTGATTGGGTTTGCTATTTATTTTATTTATTTTTGAATTTACAGGCTGCTCAATAATCCAAAAAGGCTCTTTGTAATTTGTTGTTGTTAGTCGCGAAGTTGTGTCCAACCCATTGCAACCCCATGGACAACAGTCCTCCAGGCTTTCCTGCCCTCCACCATCCTCCGTAGTCCACCTAGGCTCACACCGACTGCTTCAGTGACTCCATATAGCCACCTCATTCTCTGCTGTCCCCTTCTTCTTTTGCCTTCAATTGTTCCCAGCATTAGGCTCTTCTCCAGTGAGTCCTTCCTTCTCATTTGTTGGCCAAAGTATTTGAGTTTCATCTTCAGTATCTGGCCTTCTAAAGAGCAGTCATGGTTGATCTCCTCTCCGACTGACCCATTTGATTGCCTTGCAGTCCAAGGGACTTGCAGGAGTCTCCACCAGCGCCACAATTCAAAGGTCTCACTTCTTTGGCGCTCAGCCTTATGGTCCAACTTTCACAGCCTTACATTGCAACTGGGAAAACTATAGCCTTGACTATACGCACTTTTGTTGTCTGTAATTACTGATGCTTAAAGTTGCTCTTTACCCAAAACTATGGAAAATCGATACTTATCTTTTTGATAGTCAACAACTGGATCATTTGAAGAAACTTAGTGGGAAATGGCAGTATTTTAGAAAAGCTTGAGGCAGGATGTCAATCCACCTTCTGCACCTTTGAGAACTCTGAACTGAGACAGTGTTTCTCATAATGCAAAACTTCTTCCATCACAGTTTTGTTGTAGCAAAATAACTTCTTTCATTCGCTTTAAGATACAGAATCTCTGAATTCTGCCCCCTCTTTCTATCCTCCCCTCCCCCTTTTTTGAAATTGTGCTCTAGAGAGTTGTATCTTTTCATAAATGGTTTTTGTCTCCTTTTCCCAGCAGTACCTTCAAAGGTGGGAGGCCTGAGGTCCTTCCTTTTCAACAGTTTCTTCTTCCAGGGGTTGGTGCCAGCACCAGATCGGGATGATTGAAGTGGTTTGCAATGATCGTCTGGGCAAGAAAGTGAGAGTGAAGTGCAAGTATCCAAGATGCAGAAGTGTCTACCTGGGGGAGGCTGCTTGGTGGCATCTTTTCCTCCTAGATTCAGCTGTTGTGCTTTATTTGTGAGGCCTGTGATGTGTGAGAAAGGGATCCTAGGCAAGGGGAGGCATTTGCCATTGGTGCTGTTCACTTAAGATGTGAACATGGTTTTAAAGAAACTTGCTTATTTGTGACTGGGTGGATGCTTTTTGTTTTCTCTTCTATTGTGGGTATAAACTGGAAAGTGCTATTCCCACTCTTATCCTGGAGTGTTCCATAGAGAGGACTTAGAACATCTCTATAATTTGCCTTCTTAGAGACTAGATAGTGGCTGTACTATGGAAATGTTGTCTTTGGTGTGTTGAACGAACTTTAGGAATTTGTGATGGATGCAGGAATTCTACAAATTCCTTAAGTTTGTGTCTGTTCAGTCTCCAGTGGTACCTTGACTGGATTTGCTCAGGTGCATGCTAACAGAAAGAACAATGTGCTGATGTGAAGAGCAAGTCTTTTTGTATCCCATGGATCCTCAACTTCTGTGTGTGTCATGTGTGTGCTTTCAACTAGGAGGCTGCTGGTAGACTTTTGACAATGCATGCATTTAATGGAGAGGGTACATAAAAGTTCATGCTGAAGTAGATTATTTATTTATTTAAAACATTTCTATGCTGCCCCCATCGCAACAAAGCCTCGGGGCGGCTCACAAAGAATACATAAATACATACATAAATAATGATAATATAACACTTAAAAAAATCGTTTAAAAACCCTTGGTGCATTCTCGGCTAAAAATTTTAAAATCCTAATTAATTCAATAATTTAACAATTAAAATAAGTTTTAAATAAAAAGGTCTTAGCCTGGCACCGAAAAACAAATAACGACGGCGCCAGGCGGACCTCTCTGGGGAGCGCATTCCATAGATGGGGCGCCACCGCAGAGAAAGCCCTCCTCCGGGTACTCACCCTCCTAATATCATTCACAGAGGGTTCCCGGAGAAGGGCATCCATTGCTGATCTCAAGGGGCGGGAGGGCATATATGGGCGCAAGCGTTCCTTTAGATATCCAGGTCCCAAGCCGTTTAGGACTTTTTAGGTCATAACCTATAAAGTTATAGGTCATAACCTATAAAGTTAGTCTTTGTTTAGATGGTGGTCCTTTAAGAATTTGTGGAAACTAAGACCCCCTTTATTTTTTTATACTGATTTTCATTACGCAATGTCATCTTATTCTTCTAGTCCTACTTGCTGTGTGTGCTTGTGTATCTGTCCATCAAGAATCTGCAAGCACAGCGTGTTTACCAGAAGTCAGCTTATGATCCAGTAGAACAAGATGAACTTTATTTCATCCCTTACTTTATAAGCAGGCATAGGGAGTGTGTGCCCCTCCAGATGTTTTGACTTACAACTCCCATCAGTTCACCATTGGGTCTTCTGGCTAGGGTTGATGGGAACTGGAATCCCACAAATCTGGAGGGCCACAGGTTTGATAGTGAAGTGAAAGGCTTCATGGAATAGATAAGTACTGAGCTGAGCAATGAAGAGGGTCAGATGGCATTGCAATTTTAGGGGACAGAGAGTTTTTGGCCTAAGGGATAATGATGTTGTTTAAGGGAGCAAGAGGTTTTTTAGTGTCTGATGAAGTACAAGTATGACCTTCCTTTCTTCCTTCAGCTGCAGTAAAACATTCTGGTCAGAGATGAAGAAAAGTGTGGGTTTTTAAAAATACGGTTTTTGTTTTATATAGTTAAATCTTATTAACCTTGAGATTTCAAGGGGTAGGATGGGTTGCAATATCCAAACATGTAAATCTCAGGAGGTGAGAGTACAGGTGGTTGAGCTTCAGGTCAGAAGATGTGTGTATGTATACAAGCCTGTGAGAGTGATGTACATGCATGCATAATCCCTCTGACATAATTGGCTTAGTGATTATGATATAAAGGGCTCTGTTGGGGACATTTTTCCTTAACTTTACCCTTACTCAGCTGTGATGACACCATCAGGGATCTGAAAAAGCTCATTGCTGCCCAGACTGGCACTCGCTGGGACAAGATCATGCTTAAAAAATGGTAAGTGGGAGAGAGAAAAGGACACACTGTGTGAAATTTTGCCTCAGAGGAAGGACTCCTTTTGGTGGATCCTTTAGGTGCCCCCCCTCAGCTCATTTAAAGGGTTGCTTAGTGCCTGTGTTCATGCTTTGAATATAGTAGTCTCCAGGTTTGATGCATATTCTGAGTAATCCTAAGGTCATCACCCACAGTTGCAGACAGGAGACACATCTCATTCCTGGAGACACATCTCATTCGTTAGTATTGGTTTTAAAGTAATGAGCTTTCCTTCATATTTGTATGTATTAGCTCACAATATTTCATACTATTTCAATCCAAAATGTTCTCAAAGTAATTCATATTAATAATAACTTCAAGTAAATAGTTACACATCAACAACAACTAAAACAGGGAAAGGTAGCAATGGCACTATATCCGGGCTCCAGAATTGCCAGGTAGAAATGAACAGAAGAGGAGAAATGTGCCAAGTTTACTTCAGAGAAGATGCATGTTTTGTGATGGGTGGGTACCACTAAAAGCCTTTGATATTCATTGATGGCAATCTAAACTCCCTAGTAACATGGAACAGGGCCTAATGGGCCTTCTGTCTTAGTTGCGGGTTTGTTTATGCTTAATGAGCTTAAAAGAGGGAAGCTTTAAGTTGTGGCAAGACCAATGCTATGTAAAGGTCAGATTTATTAGCTTTAATTTCACCCAGAAACAGATTGGTAGCCTGTATAGCTGTTTTAAAACAATGTTACAGGATTGCATAATCTTAGTCCTGTTGGAAACAGACAATGGCATTCTGTATTGGTTTAATTTTCTGAGCCATCTTCAAGGGTAGCTCCATGTAAAGCATATTGGTTCCAGATATTTTTGTAACAGTCACATTAGTTGCAGATACTTTAGCACTGTTATAAATGTTAAAGTATGCCTTTTATTGAAGTACGTGACAAATTAAGATTTACTAATTATCTTTTTTATGTTGTAGGTACACCATTTTCAAGGACCATGTGTCACTGGCTGACTGTATCCTTATATAATCCTGGTGACTGGTAGTAAAACAGGGGTCCTGGGTGGGTCAAGAAGTGGAAAGAAGGGGATAGTACTCTAAAATAACAGACACAGACTACATCTTGGGTTATCATGGATAGGTTTGATTTACTAGATCCTGAGTCTCTTCAAGAAAGTGAACTAATTGTTTTTACAACACATACATGTAGTCTATGTTCTTACCCGGTCTAGTTAAAATTTTCAAGGCCTGAACATCTCCTACAGTCTATAGAATAGACAAGAGCCTTTTATCTATCTATGTAGTTCCTTTGTTCCTCCTGCAGCATGAGCAAGAAGTCTTCCTTGAACTTGTAGTTTCCCAGCTTGTTTGAAGCAGAAAATTATGGTTAAATGTTTTAGAACCAGGATATTAATAGATTGACATTGGTTTAATTTCCTGGTTTGATGGTTAAAGTTGTTAACCATTGTTTCTTGTTCTGGATGAAATGGGAAACTAGAATTAATGGAAAATTTCCTACTTTGCTAACCTATGTGCAGGGAACTCTGCATATAGTCAAAATATCAGCATCTCTGTGTGATTGTCTGAGCTTATCTCATGTACCTTATTAATCTGCATATAAGCTCTGCAGCTATACTTTAAATGGTGGTGTGTGAAATGGCTCCACCACTGCCCCTTTCTATTGACTTGATTGGTGTTGAGAGTGAATCTATAGCATGTCTATGTTCTAGCAGTTCAAACTTGAAGAATAAGCATCGGATATTTTTGAAAGCATTGTGATGCTGGTAGGTTTTTTTTTCCAAACTTGCACATCAAGCCTAGTTGCACTGTGATTTTTTTGCAGTGGGAAATTACCTTAACACCTTCTTCCAGATGAAATCCATGATGGTATGAACCTAGAACTGTACTACCAGTAGCTTGGTCATGTCAGCCTTTACCTTTCCAGTGGATTTCTGTTAATTTCTCATTTGTCTGACAATATTAATTGCTATTTCGTGGTGTGAAGTTTGCTTAGTAGTATTTTATCCCTGAGGCAATAAACCAGAAAACCTGTATTCAGGCTGTGCTTTTTTTAAAAAATATGATGGTTCAAACTGACATGTGCCTAGAATATCTTTAAGAAGAATCCACAGAATTTACAAGCTCACAAAAGCTGCTGTGAGTCTTCTGGTCTTATATCTTGATAGCAGTCAGCTATTGCATATCCATGTTTTGAATGGAATGAGGTGGGGAGAGAACTGAGCTTTATGCATTTTGAGAGCATTCTTCCATATTGTAGGGGTGTGACTGGCAGCAAGCTTACTCTAGTTCATTTAGCAGCAGATTTACATTATTTTTAAAAAATCCCTCTACAAGTGGTATAGCTATAATTAGGAAAGTACTTGATACAGTATGTAGTTAGCTTTGGGGAGAGGACATGCATGAGTGGTAGAGCACATGATCTGCATGCAGAGCATCCCATTTGCAGATTTCAGGTAGCTGAGCTGGGAAAGATTCTTGCCAACACTGTCAGAGTAGATGAATCAAGGAAAGGCAAAGGATATGAAGGCCTGAGAAATCCATTTTTCTTCCCATCCCAGGCCAGCACATCACTAGGATCATCTAGGTGGCTGCTTTTGGAAGTGGAATGCCAGGGTAACTGAACCTTTGATCTGCCAGCCAGCAAGGCAGTCATTTTGGATTATAACATTCCTATCCCATACTGAAGATTTGCCTTCACTGACACAAGCACAAATTACAGTCAGGTTTGGTTACAAACAGTGCAGGTGGTCCAGAGTGGATTAGGTGAGCATATTGCCCCTTCTCCTTAGCAGCACTTTCAGTGGTGAATCCTCTGTATTACCTTGGAATAATACAAGTCTTTGAGTCCATTCCAACCTCAGCATGCTTGCTTAGAACCAAGCCCTACTGAATTCAGTGAAAATTTTATTCCCTGGTAAGTGTGGTCAGTGCTGCTCTCTCCTGTACATTGTCATATTGGGGAGTACATATACTCATGGATGAGGTTTCTAGAGCTTTGACAGGCATAGTGTCCACCCCTTGTAGCTGTCAGTATGTATTTGAGGCCATTGTAACTGACCTCCTTTTCTCTCCTGACTGCCTTAGGTAGTAGGGAAGGAATCCAGAGCTAGGAACCTCCACAGCTTGTCAACGCAGGAATTATATCTCTGTAGGTAATGCTTGGGGAAAAAAATTGGTATTAAGAACTTGCTCAACATAATTGCTCTCTGCTAGAACCTCCAATTAAGTGGTCTGTTTTATATAGGCCTAGTTATTTATCTATCTTCTTGCATCTTTCCTGCTGCCACACTAGTGTTTGCTACCACATACAAATTCTGTTACAGCCCTGTTATCACATTCAGCAGTCTGTCCAAAAGGCCATGTAAACAGCAAGCTACCACAAACTATGAAAATCTGCAGTCATATTACTGAGAGGTGCATATTTTATTTTGTGGTAATGCAAAGTTCTGATAGCACCCTATTCTACTTTCTTTGATGCACATCTGCCCACATAGGCCTTTTTATAAAGGATATCATTCTTGGCTCCAATTGCCAGTATCCCTGTCCCCACACTTGTTCCCTCTCATTTTAAATGTACTGTACATATTCTGAGATGCACAGTACAAAAAGCTGTATCCCCATCCATGCCTTCCCTTCTCACAACACCACCTCTTCTGTCACACTGGAATGTGGGTCCAAAAGAAATGCAATCACATGATAGTGAAGGCAGTGTTAAGGGAGGCTTGGCGTAAGCATTGCCTTTTCTTACTGCTATCTAGCATGGAAAGCTGATACACTTCTGGCGAGCCACACAGTTAAAGGAAATTGCAGTTGTTTAGCTGCTCATGGCCATGCTCCCCATGAAAGTCTCATGCAACCCCAAAAAGCATTTTGAGGCAGACTGCTCAGGTAGGAACAGAAGGTCATACCTCAAACCAGCCAGAGTTACTAAGCTTATGCAGTAGCTTTTTCAGCTCTCTGTACCTGTGGGTCAGGGGTTGGTAGCTTGGGGCCCTCTTCATCCAGAAATCCCATCAGCCAGTTTAGCCTGTGGTGAGGGGTGCTAGGAGTTACAAGCCAAAGCACCTGGACTAGGGCCAAAAGTCACGGTTTCCTGCTGTTAGGGAAGAAGAGTTGAATAGGATTTTCTTACATGGTTTACTGTGACATGTTTTAAATGTTAAGCGATGGCCTACAGTGCATGTGCAGAAGGCTGCTCCTCAAATGACTTTTGAAAGATGTTTCACAAGTAAAGATGGATGAAGGTTTCTTGCGGTAGTAAATATCTCCCTAAAAATGGTCTGCCTCTGGGCGACACAGTTTTGTATAATACTTAGCAATGGGCCATATTATCTTTTCCGTTCTCATGGGTGTGCAGTGATGGCCTACCTGGGATCAGCCAAAGTAGTACTAGGCAAAGGGAGAAGCCTCTGCCGCCTATTTGTTTCTGAGTGCTCCACCCCAGTTCAACGGTCCTATGAAACTGCACGCGATTGTACCAGATTCCATTACCCCTGCACTGCAGCAATCGATTTCCCTCTAAGCGCAGCGAGTCTCAAAGATCCTTTTAGCCTTGCTGGGGAACGCTAAGTTGTAGGACTGCTTTTCTGTTTAGGATTGTGCCCTCATTCTACACTAGACCTTCCCAACCCGGTGCCCTTCAGCTGTTGGACCTACAGCTCCCAGCATTCCTGATCATTGGCCATGCAGGCTTGGGCTGATGGGAGTTTTAGTCCAGGCCATTTCGGGGAGTCCAGGTCGGGGAATGCTTTTCTACACCGCTCCACATATAGATATGCATGCACTTTACATCAAGCATAGGTCCCACATAGGCTCCACGACCGGCTTCTCATCCCTCCATGCATTTCACACCGTCTCTTCCGTGCCAACATGTTCAATGAGATTCAGACCGATAGCAGGCTGACTGCCCCTTTCCCGGGCGGGAGTTCCCCTTCTTACCCACTTTTCAGGAGACTGGCCAATCGGAGCACGACTCTGTTTCCGAAGTGGCCAATCGCAGCAGGAGCACTATTGCCGCGAGAGAGATGGCTGAAGCCATTGTGCGCGTGCGGAGGCGGTGGCGGCGTTGCCAGGAGAAGTGGGCGTGGCCGGCTCTGCGCTTGCTGCTGTGAGAGGAGGAAAGATGGCGGAGGAGGAGAAGCTCCCCGCAGGCTGGGAGAAGCGCATGAGCCGCAGCTCCGGTAGCCACCGCGGAGGGAAGGGGGGTGCCTGGGTGGGCTTCCCGAACGGTGGGTCGTGGTGGTACCTGCGTATCTGAGAGACGAGAGGGAGCCAGGAGCGGGAGTCGCGTATGTGGTTTGGGGTCTGCGAGGCCCCTTCGCCCAAGGGAGTGGCAGCCCTTTTGGAAATGAAGAGCTCCTGAGCGAAGGGCTTTCCGACCGGGGACCGGGAGGGGGGCGCCTCTAACCTCGAACAGGGAAGTTACGGCACTGGGGCTCTTAGGGGGTTTTCTCTGCAGGATAATGAACCATGATGAAGGTAGCGGCGGGATGTTTTCAGGGGGCTTGCTTCTTATCAAAATAGCGCAAGACTGTTTCTTGTTCTTTCCATACTTTATTTACTTTCATGTCATTTTCCTTCTTTTCCTCCATTCTCCATGGTTTCCCAAAGCTTGAATGCCCAGAGTGGCTTGCGATGTTCTTTAAAACTTTCTCCCCTTCCACTTTTTCTGTCCTTTGCTCTCTCTCTTTATAACTATACTTTATTGTCCATTTGGCCTTTTAAAAAACAATAAAGACAAACTACAATATTAGCGTTCTCCTTATTCATCTCAAATGAAGGGAAGAAGTCCACATTTACCTTCTCTCAAAAGTCGCCCCCCCCACCTTATACCTGGGATAGAGAACCTGTGATCCTCCAGGTGATGCTGGACTGCAGCTCATCCATACCCATCCATGATGCTGACTTGGACTGATGAAAGTTGGAAGTCCAGCAAGATATGGAGGACACTGGGTTGGTTGCTCTGCTGTAGACTATCTTTGCATGTTCCTCTTAGCTCCAGTGTTACCGTTGTTACATGTAGGTGTAATTTGCTAAGGGTGCAATCCTTTGCATGTTTAGACAGAAAAAATGGTTCTACAATTTCCAGGGTGCCCCAGCCATGCTGGGAATGATGGGATTTTTTTCCCTCTATCTAAGCATGCATAGGATTGCACCCTTCACCTATTTTTGAGCTAGAGCTTCTGTTTTGATCTGTCCGGTGGAGTGGGATGGTATCAGTGGGCTTCTGTCAAGAACAATGAAAGAGCCCTGCAAGATCAGAGCAAGGGTACTTGAGTCCAACATCCTCTTTTTAACAGAGGTCAGCCAGAATGTCCAAGAAGCTAACTAGCTGAGCATGAAAGCAACAATCTTCCTTCATCCCTTAGCAATTCAAATTCAAGCATCATGCTTGCTTTTAGCATGGCAGTTTTATGTAAATATTTTGGCTGATAACTACTGATAAATTCTATGAGTTTGTCTGATTCTACACCCATCTAAGGGCATAATCCTAGGCATGTTTAGAGAGAAAATGTCTTCACATCTCCAAGCATTTCCCAAGCAGTATGTTATGCATTCAGCAGGATATGCACTATTATGCATTTGATGAAATACTAGGTTTTTTCTAACATAGCTATGTTATCATTATGTAACCTCAAGGTCTAGTATTATGAGAGATGGAAAATGATGTTCTCCATTTTCTCCATACTGCTTTTAATTTTATAAACCTTTATTAAATTGCATAATTCCAGTATAGTTTTCTTAAACAAAACCAATGCTCCCCACATTGTATCCTTTCCTCATAAAGAAGGAACTGCAAATGTGTTAGTTGCCTTTTTTCCAAGTGTCCAATATCCCTTTTGAGTTAAACTGGCTAGAACTGTATATTGTATTACAGTTGTGCCTGCATAATAATTTGTTTTAAAGTTTTCATTATACTGGCTTTTTCTGCTCAATACCTTTCCTATTCTTTATATGGGTTCACTGTTTCCCTGCTGCTGTTGCCAGCAAATTGATTTGTTGAGCTTTTAACCACAACCCAGCTGTTTTTCTTTAATAGGCATTAATGTTTTTATCTCTGAAATTGCGTGGCAGTGGTTGTTTATTTTACTCCACCGTGCATCATACAATCACATTAAATTTCATTTGCCATTTTTTTGTCCTTTCATCAGCTTGAAAGAGAATTTTTGGAGGTTTACATTACATTTTTACACTCACCTTCTTCAGAGGAATTCAGGATGGGGTGCATAATTCTTCAACCATTTTATCTTCACAACAGCTCTGTGAGTTAGGTTAGGCTGTGAGAGAGTAATTGCCCAGGGTTGCCTAATAAGTTTCATGTCTGAGTGGGGATTTGAACATGGATCTTTCCAATCCTTGCATTGTATTCTAACCACTATAGTATGCTATCTGCACTCACTGACTTGTGAGTTTTTAATTTGTCACTTAAATGTAGTATTTCATCTCTTGTCACTTCTGTTTGACTTCATTCTTCAGATGCTGGCTCAGGGAAAAATTATCAAGGCACAGATATGAGTAGCTTTACTGTGCAGCCTGTTCATGCATGAGAACCCATTAAAGAATGAGTTCAGCTTCCCTGTGATCTCTCTTTTCCATGCACTCTTTTGTAATATCATTGACCAGCCATTTCCCTGTCTGTTTTTCTGCTTCTGGTGTAACTGAAGTCCTTGCTTTTGGCTGCCTTTATATTTCACCACCATCATTCTTATTAGTGGTGACATTTGAGGTTACATGCTGATTGGTGTAAAGCCAAAATGGTCTCATCCTGGAAGTCATATCAGCATGCTCACAAAAGGCTCAAGGTTTGCAAAAATAGAAACTAACAAACTCATACAGTGTGAAATCCTGCAACTGGCAAAACTGCACATGTATGAGGTTATGTGGAGGAAAGGGGAGGGGAGAAGGAGCAGTGATTAAATTCAGAAGTACAAGGCTGCCCAAAGCACAAACTGCCTACTGAGAACACAAGACAGATTCAAATTATAGATGGAGAAAGATTGTGCTGACTAATGGAGGAGGAGGAAGGAAAAGGTAGGAGGACAGGAGGTGAAAGCAGACAGCAGGGAGGTGAAACCAGGATGGGGAAGATGGATGAGGTTTTGGAAGAAGGTAAGGGGTTTGTGAGGCAGAACATATTAAGCGGGGGGGGGGGGTAATCCCTCCAAAAACCATGTGAGGAAATAATGGTGACTTTCGGTTAGACAAAAACTGAAAAGGGGTTGCATGTTATAACTTGTAGGAGGTCAAATTGGGCTGGCGGGCACCTTAAGCAGGAACATTCCACACTGCAACACTTAAAGCTTCACTTTGTGCTTTTTTTTATTCTTGAGGGGGAAAAATTATTGTTTTTTCCCATTTCCCTTACAGCTAGTTCACATTTGCTTTGCCAGAATTTGTGGTCCTTTTTATTCTCCTCTTCTGGTTTAGACTTCCACTTTTCAAAGGAAGCTTTAAAAAAAATGTTCTGCATTTTAGAGCTTACGTGACTGTTCATTAACCACACCAGCTTATTGTCAGACTTGTTATCCTTCCTTATCTGTGTTATGCAGTTGATCTAGACTTGTTTAAAATTGTATTTTAAATAATTACGCAATGCCAAAGAGTTGACTTTTCCCCAGGGCAGGTCTGTTGCAACTGACTTTTAATTGGTATTCTTATTTTTTAGGTTTCTATGCCTGAAATTGAATGTGAACAGATTGCAGTTTCCATGTTACTTTCCTTTTGATGAATTTGACAGGTGCTCCCCCCCACCCCCTTCCTTTCTGCTTGTGGTCTTGATACAAATTATCCTCCCCACCCCATTTTTTTCTGGTCCTTAGGAGTGAGCTTTTTGAAATGGATAGAAAATTGGTAGCTGGGGTGGGGAGGGTTCAGCCGCAGTAACTGGAGAGCATCAAGTTAATTGTACAAAGCTGCATAAGAGACCTTGGGTGTGTGTGCCTCTGTCTCTGCTTTACACTACATCCCTCACTGATGAGTTAGTTATTTTGGACCAGTACTGAGCAGCTCTTACTAACTTACCTATGGAACTCTAGCTTAAAACTCCTCTGGAGACTATTTGATTGTAAGTGCCAACTGTCTAGTTCAATTGCAGTTCAAGTCCATAAGGTTTGCTTTGTTTTAAAATGTTCTCCAGTGCTTGACAATTCTTTGAACTTCTGTAGATTCTTAAACCTTTCTTCCTAACTCATTTCATTTACACAGCCTTTGCAACAATTCCAGTGCAGCTCCCTTGATGTGCAGAATAACGTAGTACATCTGAAAAAGTCACCCTGGCAGTTGTAGATATTTTCTTATCTTGCAGTGTGTTGGGTTTTCAGAACCTTATAATAATATTACTCAATGTCTTTGATGGTAGTACGTATATGACTGCACACTTCTCTCTTGTGCAAGCTACCATGCTATTGAGAGACAGGACTTGCTATCCACAACTTTTGTATTATGCAGGGTAAATCATAATGTAGTCAAAACAGCAGTCACAGCTGAACTCAGTGTTCCTAAATATTCAGCCTCCCAGTGCTAGTGAACTCGCCCTACCCCTGAAGCAGAGGATATTATTTCATCACCTAAGAACTGTATTCCTTTTAATGGGCTGTCTCTTGCTTCTGTAGTGCAATGCCTTCTTCCTGAGAACTTCATGTTTTGTGGCAGCAGAGATGCATTCAGCATGGGGGTGGATCCTCCTTACCTTGACTCTGAAGGCCTTGCTTTTGTACCTCACTGCTTTTTTGCATCTCCCATGTTAGGCCCAAAGACATGCTATTCCCCAAATGTCAGGAGCCCACCCCCATGGCTTTTGCAAGCATATGACATGTAGAAATATACTGAATAATTCCCATGATCCTGGTAACTTCCTAATTTTGTGATTGGTTTTATCAGTACTTTAAAAAAAGTTATGATTATGAGGTTTTCTTAATTTTAATGAGATAGTAGTTAAGAGGCGTTTTATTTTCTTGGCCACTGTATCCTTTTTAAAATCATCCTATTGCCTTATCTCTTTTTGTATTCCTTATCACTGGGATTCTCTTATACTTCTACAGCTGATTTCCCTCATTAATCTCCCTGAATATATACATGTGGATAAAGAGAGGGGGCACTCTTGAAAAGGTGCTAGTGGAATGGAGAAGCTAGTACACAGTTGAGTCCTACAAAATTATTACTTGTGTTACTGGCTATTTTA